TCCCTTTAAAATCCCTATAAAATCCCCCCCTAGGCCAATCCCGCTTGATGGAAAAGCCATGTCTTGAGGGCACGGCGGAAGGAGGGGAGATCCGGAATAATCCGGATCTCTGGGGGGAGTTCGTTCCACAGGGTGGGGGCTCCCACAGAGAAGGCCCTCCCCCTGGGGGTCGCCAGCCGACACTGTTTGGCCGACGGCATCCTGAGGAGGCCCGCTCTGTGGGAGCGTACCGGTCGATGGGAGGCAATCTGCGGCAGAAGACGGTCTCGGAGGTACCCAGGTCCGATGCCATGTTAAGTTAGTAACATGGATGCTAAGTGAATTTGGCTTCCCCACTGACTTTGCTTGTCAAAAGGTCACAAAAGGGGAGCACATGACCATGAAACTGTCATAAGTATGAGTCAGTTGCCAAGCAATGGTGCAACAGTTGTAGGTGTGAAAAATGGTCATAAGTCACTTTTTTCAGTGCCGTTGTAACTTCAGACAGTCACTAAATGAACAGTTGTAAGTTGAGGACTACCTGTATTGGCTGGGGATGTTGTGAATTAGATTTAAGCAAATCTAGAGAGCACCAGGTTGGTGAATGCTACTTCTGGAAAATATAACTTCTTATTGATAGTTATCTTTATTTATAGCCTCCTAGAGGCTCATAAGAATTTAGTTTTCCAGGTAGCTTGGAACATGAATATATGTGTTTCCCAGTACTAGGCATAGTACTGGGAAACACATATATTATACATAGAATTATTACTTCTGGGATCCATTGTGCCATATGTATATGTTGTGTTAGATTTTAGTGTATATGATTGTATTGTTGTTGTTTTGGTTTTATCCAACCCACAACCTACAGGCCACATATGGCCCTGGAAAATTTAAATGTGGCCCCTAGTAAATGTGGCCCCACAAGATTTGTAAACTTCTAACATTAGTATGTGATTTATATACATTGACTACTGCATATTAGATATTTTATATGCAGCCCAAGACAATTCCTCTTCATCGCAGCCCAGGCAAGCCCAAAGGATAGATTACTGCGTTGTAGCCTATGTACCTCTTACAATCAATGGACTAAATTAATATATAAATTCACAAATAAATAAATCAAGACATTTGATTCCCATTGTTATTTATTTTCCCATTGTTATCATTGATTTCCACTGTGATTTATTTTCCACCATCCAGGTTTAAGACCGGCCAAATCAATGGGGACCTGCTGATATATCATGTTTTGCTGACACTGAAGCCTTACTACGCCAAGCCATACGAGATCGTAGTGGACCTCACCCACGCCGGGCCCAGCAACCGTTTCAAAACAGACTTCCTGTC